GTTGGGGCTCCCGGGGGGGGTTTTGGGGGTCCGTGGGGGGGATTTGGGGGTCCCTAAAGGGGTTTTGGTGTCCCATAAGGGGTTAGGGCTCCCTGAGGGGGTTTTGGGGGTCCCTGGGGGGGATTTGGGGGTCCCAAAAGAGGTTTGGAGGTTTTGGTGTCCCATAAGGGGTTAGGGCTCCCTGAGGGTTTTTTGGGGGTCCCTGGGGGGGATTTGGGGGTCCCCACCTGAGCTGCAGCAGGGAGGGCGTGTTGCTGCGGATGGTGCTGCTCAGCCCGTCCAGGGTGTAGTACAGCGGGACATCGCTCAGCTCCTGCCCCACCATCAGCCCCACGATCACAGCCAGCCCCACCACCGGGGTGCCCCCCACCCCAAATGTCCCCCCGGGGGTGTCCCCCAGACCGGGGGTGTCCCCTCTCCCCGGGGGTCACCTCGGCGATGACGCTCAGCATCCCCCGCATGCGCGGCTCGGTGGAGAAGCGCCCGGGGCTCCGCTCCAGCGCCGCCAGCACCCCCTCCACAAAGGTGGGGTCGTGGAGGGGCTCAGCCCACACCGGGCCCCCCACCTTTAGGGGAAAAAAAAAAGGGGGTTCAGGGTCCCGTTTGGGGGTGCCGAGGTTTTGGGGAGGGGGGCTGCACGCACCTGGTGGCGCTGCTGGCAGAACTCGCAGGTCGGACCCACGGGCGGCCCCGTGGCTGCGCTGTACTTGAAGCTGGAGGGGTGACACGTGGTTAAACCCCCCCCCCAAAAAAAATCGTGGGGACCCCCAAAGGGTCTCGAGGAACCCCAAAATGGCTCTGGGGGGTGGGGATGGGGGGCTGTACCCGCTGCCGTGGCTGGTGGCCCTGCCCAGGCGCTGCAGGTGGTACGAGCCGCACCCCACGCACTGGAACACCAGCGCCTGCTTGCTGGGGGGGAAACGGGGTCAGGGCGGGTCTGGGGGGCACAGAGACCCCCCAAAACCCCCCCAAATCACCTGGCCGAGGCCTTGACCTTGGCCTGGCCCGTGAAGACCCTGACGAAGACGCGCACGTAGAAGTCGGCGCTGACCGACAGCAGCGGCACCACGAAGCGCTGGTAGCAGTTGGCGCGGAGGTCGAGGCTGTGCAGGACGATCCTCAGGGCCTGCCAGGGGACAGAGGGGACAAAAAGGGACATGGGACACCCCCCGCAGCCCCCCCCGGAGCAGGGGACCCCCCCCCAGCACTGACCATCTCGTGGCAGAACTTGCCCTTGAGGGACACGGCGCCGTATTTGCTGTAGCAGGTCTCGGCGCTGTTGCCGGCCATCACCGCCATGTCCGTGCAGGTCACGCACAGCAAGCCTGGGAAATCGGGGTTCAGGGGGGTTCAGGGGGGTCCGGGCAGGGGTTTGGGGGTCCCCAAGAGCCCCCCCAGACTCACCCCCCTCGCTGACGGCCTGCACGGCCGCGTCCAGGAAGGGCGCGGGGCTCCCGTAGGGGTCCAGGTCGATGACGTCAAAGGGTTCCCGCTGGGCTTTGCTTTCGTACATCAACATCCTGGGGGGCACACGGGGGTCCCCAGAGACCCCCCCCAAACCCTCAGCACCCCTTTTGGGGACCCCCCAACCCCCTCCCTCCAGCCTTTGGGACCCCCTCAGTGCGGTCCCAGCTTGGGGGGCAGGGCGGTCTCTGACACAGCTCGGGGACATTGGGACAAATTCTGGGGGGAAAAGGGTTTTGGGGACCCCCAGAACTCCCCCAGAGACCCCAAAGTGGGGCAGGAGGTCTCGGGGTGCCCATGGGGACACTCTGGGGACAGCTCCTGGCACAGCCCCAAAGGCCCAGGCAGTGCTGGGGGGTCAGCCATGTTCCCAGAGGGGTTTGGGGACACCTGGTGTGATTCTAATGGGGTTTGGGGTCACCTGGTGTGATCCTAGTGGGGTTTGGGGTCACCTGGCCCAGTCCCAGTGGGATTTGGGGTCTTGGGGTCACCTGGCACAATCCCTGTTGGGACACCTGGTCCGTTCCCAGAGGGGTTTGGGGTCACCTGGTGTGATCCTAGTGGGGTTTGGGGTCACCTGGCCCAGTCCCAGTGGGATTTGGGGTTTTGGGGTCACCTGGCACAATCCCAGTGGGATTTGGGGTTTTGGGGTCACCTGGCACAATCCCTGTTGGGGTTTTGGGGTCACCTGGCCCAGTCCCAGCGGGATTTGGGGTCACCTGGCCCAGCTCAGCGGGATTTGGGGTCACCCGGCCCAGCCCAGCGGGATTTGGGGTTCGGGCTCACCCGGCCCAGCCCAGAGGGATTTGGGGGTTCAGGCTCACCCGGCCCAGCCCAGCGGGATTTGGGGGTTCAGGCTCACCCGGCCCAGCCCAGCGGGATTTGGGGTCACCCAGCCCAGTCCCAGCAGGATTTGGGGTTCAGGCTCACCTGGCGTCGGCCAGGCGCGGTGTCACCGTGTCCCCGACGCCGTTGCGGGCCACGTTCTGCGCCATCAGCTCGGCGGCGCGCGGGGAGCGGTCGCTGGCCACCACGGCGCCCAGCCCCGGCACCTCGCGGGCAAAGCGCACCGAGCGCAGCGCCGAGGCCGCCAGCGCCTCCAGCACCCGCAGCCCGCCCTGGGGGGGGGAAAAATCAGTGGGGAGGGGGCAAAAACAGCCCTGGGGGGGGGCAAAAACAGCCCTCCCAAAGGCTCCGTACCCCGAATTCCTTTGGGGCGCAGCCGGAGCCGGGCGAATTCCGTCAGCACGGCACAGCTGGGGGGGAGGGGCGTCAGGGACCCCCTGGGGGGGGACACACCCCGAAAAAAAACACAGGACCCCAAAACCCCCCAGGACCCCCCCCAAGAC